TTCCATTAATAAATCGCCCGACGAGAGTGACATAATACTCAGCAACTTTACTAGACAATACCATTACAACAGACATCTTTAATAATGATATAAAAAAAGGAATCTTAAAAACAGATATCTCGGATCACTTTCCTATTTTTCTGACTATACCCACTAACCAAGCAAATGTAAAAAAACCTAACAAAATCTTAACTAAACGTATTTTTAATCAATCAAAAATTGAATTGTTTAAAAACCAACTATCGCTACTGCATTGGAAACATTTAAACTTTAATGATAACGCTAATAATCTTTTTGAAAATTTCTTTAAAACATTTTTTTCGGTTTACGATGCTAACTTTCCTAATGTTACTCATACATCAAAACTAAAAACATAAATAATCCTTGGGTTACCAAAGGTTTCAAAAAATCATCAAAAACTAAGCAAAAGTTATATATAAAATACCTAAAAACAAAAACTCCTACAAGCGAAAAAAAATACAAAGAATATAAAAATTTATTTGAAAAAATCCGGAAAAGTTTAAAAAAAAACTACTATTCAAATTTGATTAATGAAACAAAAAATAACCTAAAACACACTTGGCAAATACTAAAAGAAATAATTGGGAAACAAAAAACATGCTCAAGTTTTTTACCACACATGCTTAAAATCGATAACAAAATTTTATACAATCTACAAATTATAGCTAATGAGTTTAATAAATATTTTGTTGAAATTTGTCCTACACTATCAGATAAAATTCCAATTACCAAAACTTCTTTTCATGATTTTTTAGCACCTCTTGATAAAGGCATTTGCTCATTCGAACTATCGTCCGAATTATCTTTTGAAGAGTTTGAAAAAGCTTTTAAAACCTTAAAAAAAAAATAAAGCAACTGGGCCTGAAATAAACGGAAATATAGTTATAGATTGCTATGAACAAATTAAAAATATTCTTTTTAAAATCTACAAAGCATCCATCCAACAAGGAATTTTCCCTGAGCGCTTAAAAATTGCTAAAATTATTCCAATTCACAAAGAAGGCGACAGATCCAATATCAATAATTACCGCCCCATCTCTATCCTATTTGTATTCTCCAAAATCCTAGAAAGAATTATGTTTAACAGAGTTAATAATTATTTTAATTACAATAACCTTCTATACAATAATCAATTCGGCTTCAAAAAAGATAGTTCAACTGAGCATGCCATTATTCAATTTGTACGCAACATCTCCAAATCCTTTAAAAAAGCTCAATATACATTAGGTATTTTTATAGATCTATCAAAAGCATTTGATACGGTTGACCATAATATTTTAATACAAAAAATTAAATATTACGGTTTAAACAATAATACTTTAGCGTGGTTTAAAAGCTATTTAACAAATCGTAAGCAGGTAGTCTATAGTAATAATGACGTTCAAAGTGGATCCTTAAATATAACCTGTGGTGTTCCACAAGGTTCTATTCTTGGACCGCTGCTATTTCTTATATATGTCAATGATCTAAACAAAGCTTCTAACCTGATGAGTATTATTTATGCCGATGACACTAACTTATTTCAATCCCACACTGATGTTTACAAACTTTTCTCAAAAACTAATAATGAACTTATAAACATTTCTAAATGGTTTAAATGTAATAAATTAACGTTAAATACTAACAAGACTGAATGGATTCTTTTTCATTCCTTCTCAAAAAAACGTTCTTTACCAGATATTATGCCTCAAATTTATATCGATGAAACTCTAATAAAAAGAGATTCTGTTATAAGATTCCTAGGAGTTTATCTTGATGAGAATATTACTTGGAAAAACCATATTAATCATGTAACCACCAAGGTATCTAAAAATATTGGCATTTTGTATAAAGCCCGACCTTACTTAAGCAAAAAAAACCTTACGCAGCTCTATTACTCATTCATACACAGCTATATAAACTACGCAAATATTGCATGGGGTAGTACCGAAAAAAGTAAACTACAACGTCTATATCGCCAACAGAAACATGCGATTCGCGTGATTAATTATGTGGATCGCTCTACACATTCAAAGCCTCTCTTTGATGAAATGAAAATACTTAATGTCTACAAACTTAATGTTTTCAATGTTTTATGTTTTACTTATATGTGGAAAAACAATTTATCCCTACCTGTTTTTAATGACCTTTTTACATTAAAACTTACTTAAAAGTACTCACTAAGAAATAAAGATTTGCTAAATGAACCATTTTGTAGAACAAATTTTAATAAATTTTGTATTAATTATAGAGCACCTTACCTTTGGAATAAAATAGTTCTGCCTAATTTTGATCCTTTTATCCGTTTTTCTGTTTTTAAAAATTAAAAAAATTTATTCTTGCTATGGATGACATTTTAAGTTACTATTAGCTTGAAGTATAAACTTGATTTATGAGATTTATAATAATATTTATATTAATAAATTTATTTACTTTAATTTATATCAGATCTATAAAATTTATTATTATGGATTATTATAACAGATTTGTGAGAATTATTATTACAGATACGTGATTAATATTATGAATTTATTATTATATATTTATTATTACGGCCGTTTTTGGATTTATATTTTCAGTTTTTATGGTATGATAAAATTGTAAAGGTTCTGTTGATAAGATCAGTAGATCTTCTTTCAGAAACCTTGTTTTCTTTGTTCTTGTAAAATATAGTATTTATTTTACGGCAAATGTAAACAGAAAAAAAAAAAAAAAAATGTTTATTCCATAAAATTTTATGGAATAAACATTTTTATAGTGATGTAAATTTTCCGGTAAAATTTAGTTCAAAATTTAATGGGTAAAGTTTACCGGTAAATTTCCCGGTAATTTTTAAATCGAAGGGTGTAAATTTTCCTTAAAAAATTTTTTTTTTCAAAATAAAATAAGTGAAAAAAAAATTCAAAATTTACCAGGCGGTAAATTTTCAAAATTTACCGGTAAATTTAACGATAAGCTTTCCGGTAAATTTTACCTTTGCAAACACTAGTTTTTTATGCTTTAAGCTAGTTTTTTGTTTTAGTAATTAAAAAAAAAAAAAAAATCATCGATGTTTTAAAAATATTTAGCTCTCAAGATCGCGTATTATAGCAGCCACACTTTTAAGGGTAAGGTAGTGGGACTGAAGACTAAACATATCAAAATATGGAAAATGTACAATATTGGAGCAATTTTTAAATTCTCCATTTTTACTTTCAATACATAAAAATTGTACAACCAATCTTTTCAGGAAATTTTTTATTTTTAACAACCTCTAATTTAGGCTTTATTATAACCCTTCAAATCATTGGGAAAATTATAATATAGGCTGTTAATAAGAATTTACTATAAATATTATCTATATATTATTCATGTAATACATGAATAATAATATTATTCTTAATCTGATTATTTTGTAATTTTATTTGTTTTAAGAAGTTATATCCATGTAAGGTTAGATTTATATTATCTATTTTATTAGTGATTTTAAAATTTTGCATCACCTCTTAATCGCTGAGTTGAAAGTGTTGTTAGATTTATTAACTAGTAAGTCCTTCTTCATATGTCATCTTTTTAAGAGAAGGAATTAGCTCGTTCTAATACAGATATATCTTCTTTAAGGTAAGGAGACCATACAGCGATACTGTATTCAAGATGTGGATGGACAAGTGTAGTGTAGAGAACTTTAAACACCTCTTTATCAATGTAACTAAAAGTGCGTTTTAGCATACTAAGACTTTGATTTGCTTTAGACGCAGAACTAATCGCATGTTGTTTCCATTTAAGATTAGCAGAGAAACTGATACCTATTATTTAAAGTTATTATATTGTCATTGTTCCAATCAGGTATGAAGTAATCGTGCTTTGAATTATTTTTCTCTATATGCTTAACATGAAACTTTTTACTGTTAAACTTGATCAGCCATTTTTTTGACCATTCAAACGCCTTGATAAGATTATCTTAAAGAGCTGTTTGTATATTTGATTGATGATTTTAGTGTCATCAGCAAACAATTTAGATAAGTTAGTTAAGTTTTTTGGTAAGTCATTGATATAGATAACAAAAAGAAGTGGACCTAACACGGACCCTTGTGGAATACCACTAAAAACATTTTTCCAATCTGACTCAATTTGGCTAATTACAATTTTTTGCTTCCTATTTTCTAAAAAAGATGTAATCCATGAGATAAGACAATTATCAATACCGTAATTTCTTAATTTAAGTAAAAGTCTTTTATGGACAACAGTGTCAAATGCTTTAGAAAAGTCAAGGTTAATAATATTAGCTGAGTTATTGTTTTCCATACAAGTTGATAGAAAGTCTCTAACAAGATTGTTATTCATGATTTTCTAGGCAAGAATATTGTTGTATATTAATCAGATTATTCGTTATTAAGTTGTCTAAAGTTTCTTTGCATATTATTTACTCAAAAAGCCTACAGATAATAGATGTCAGCGAAATAGGTCTATAGTTTTCTTGTATCAGTTTATTGCCTTTTTAAAAAATAGGAGTTACATTCATTTCCTTCCAATGACTTGGCACTTTGCTGGAAGCTAAGGATTCTTTAAAGATTAGTATGATTAGTATTTTAAAAATTATAATTTCTAAGAGCCTACATCTTTTCACTTTTACTTTTCAAAAATACCTTTAAACCCAAACTTCAAAAGTCAATACCATTTCTTATTTAACTTATGTTTTAGGCTTTCTCCCAGATCCAACAAGCTTTACACTTTTACTAGCGTGTTTATATTTTTTCAACAATCTGCTAATAGTTGAGTTTCATTGTTTAAAACATAATCCAATGCTTTTTTGAGACCATTTTTGGTCAGCAGTTTCAATATTTCATCTGTTTTCTCATATTTTCAGCTATTTTCTATAGTATTAAATATGACCATTTCATTCCACTTTTTAAAGATTTTTTTAATATAAATATCAGTTTATATACATTTTTTTGTTGTTGTTGTTGCACCTTACCATATGATATATGCATAATTTATGGTTATGATGTCAAAACTGCCTAATGTTAAAATTATTTTTATAGTTAACATAAACACAAAATTCCAGATTAAGTTGAATATTTTGACGAATTTTATTAAAGATGGCTTGCAATGTTGTCTGTCCAAATGATAGCTCAGATGCCAATAGTTCTTTGGAATTTTTTATATTAGTTGGTCAGTTAAAGGTAAATTATATTATCACTCCATAGGCACTATAGAAATATAAAACTAATACCCTGTTCATACTGACAATAAAATGTGTTTAATTTTAAATGAGTATTAAATTGATATTTTAAAATACCAGATAAAACAAAAAGAATATTGTGAGATAATTATAAAGTTTGTGTTAATATAAAACAACCTCACCACACTCTTATATATATATGTATATATATATATATATATATATATATATATATATATATATATATATATATATATATATATATATATATATATATATATATATATTATATATATATATATATATATATATATATATATATATATATATATATATATATATATATAATACATACACTTAACATAAAACACGTTTTAAATAAAACTGTCAGCATAAACAACATATAAGTTCTTTATTTTAAAAGTTTATTATAAGAAAAGTTTAAAAGTTTATATTTTAATATTTAAAAATTAACTAATAATAAATTTTGTTCTTTAAAAACTTTTTTTTTAAAGCTTTAAAAACAGATCTTTAAATATAATATATATAGTAACATGTTTTTATATTTCTATTTGTGTCCACTTAAAGACTAATAAACGCACTGGTTGGATTAAAAACAATGTACCTAACCCTGAGAGCATATCTGATCATATGTACCGTATGGCTATAATGGCTATGTTACTCAATGATAATAATATAAGCATATTGCGGTTAGTATTTTACATATTTTATTTCATACAACCTTGTGTAGTTGTAAAAGTTTAATGAACTAACTCTCTAAAAATTTGAAAAATGTAAATGAAAAAATCTTTAAGCTATAAAGATTTTTCCTGTTAATTCAAATTTTTAACAACTTACCCACTTATCCCACTACAAAAAAGCTACATCACTGGTATTAAGTTAGTATATATTAAATCAATTTATTTATAGAAAATGTTTTATGAAATTCCTCTAATAATTAAAGTTCATGGAATGAAATGAATATGTTTAGGTGTATAAAGATGGCACTTGTACATGATTTGGCTGAATGTATTGTTGGAGATATAACTCCTTTTTGTGGTATATCACCTGAGGAAAAGTATATAAAGGAAAAAGTATACTTTTTAATAATTTATACATAATTTCTTTTTCATCAAATCCTTGGCTTTATTAGTATAATAATAAATATAATAATAACAATAATAATAATAGCAATAATAACAATAATAATAATAATAATAATTAATAATAATAATAATAATAATAATAATAATAATAATATATATTTAATACTTTAAAGGAAGCAATGGCACAATTGTGTTCCTTGGTTACTAACAAAAAGGTTTTTAAAATTTTTATTTTTATGAATTCATTCTTTTTAATTTTTCGTTTTGAGCATCTTTTGATTATAGTTTTATACAAATGTTATAGGTTGGAGACGACATTATGGAATTATGGCAGGTCTGTAATTGTAGGTATACAGTGCTTTCAAAAAAAATAAAATAATAAACACAGTAAAAAATTGAGTAAATTTTCTTTTTCAAAACATTGTAAAATCTCATCCATATTTCCTAACGACTTAACTTATTTTGAAAGACAGGAAAATTATTTCGCAACAACTAACATGTCAATAACAAGATCATATATAGTTACTTTTTTTAATAGTTTACTTTTTTCAAAGGAATACAAAAAGCATACGGGAAAAGATTGTGAAATAAAATATTCAGACAAACTTTTTAATTGACTTTCAATCTACTTTCTTGTCAACCCAATTGTTGTTCATAATTTTTTTAATAAATTTATATGTTTTTTTGATGATTTCCCATAAAATGTTGGATAAAATTACTTATGATGACCAGTTTAGTCACATTTAAAGCCTTTTTAAATAATTCGATAAGACCTAAAATTAAATATACATAGAAATGGGTCAAAAAGCAGTAAGTGAAGCAACAGTGGCAAATAATAGGTGTGAATGATGGCGCAATGATCAGTGATGGAGAAATAGCAAGAAAATTGCAAAGAATTGTGTTAGATATACTCAAAGACTTTTAAAACAACAGGTGTCATCCAATGCCATGCAGAATCAGAAAGGTTAAAAAAACACAAAAATAGTTTAATATTTTTTCTAGTAAAAGCCAAACCGATGTTAAGTGATGAACTCACTGTCACATTCAACAAAAACTTTGAAAAATGCATTTTGTCAAATATAGTTAAACATTTTACTAAGGAAAAAAATTGATGTCTATGCAGCTGTTAGAACCCCTGTTGGCGGCCAGAGATTCGCTCACAAGGTTTAGGTGGTGTAAAGAGAGAATTGGGTGGTTTGTGGAGAAGTGAAAGCAAATAATGTTTAGTGATGAAAGTAACTTTGAAGTAATAAATAGAAAAAGCAAAGTTCTTGTTAAAAGATTTAAACTGGAAAAGTTTGCTTTATTTTACTGAGGTTGCAAAGTGGCTGCGACAGTGTTGGTATTTGGGGCTGCTTTAATTTTAACGGAGTAGGAGTTATTAACATTTATACAGGTCGAATCAATTAACATCCATGTATAGAGACACTATGGAATTGTGTGGTTCTTTCAGTGGACATACTTATTGATCAAAATAAATTTTGGCGCCTGCCCACACAGCTCACACAGTAACAGCATGGATGAAAAAAAAACCAACTCAATTAACAGAGTTGAATCCAATCGAATCTATTTGAGTATCAAAATTTGCAAATGAAATCTGCAAACATCTTGTAAAAGCGATGCAAAAAAAGATATGCTGCCTGCAAATAAGCATGTGGGGAATATTTTAAATGCTACCTATAATGATATTTTTTTTGCTTTGATTTTTTATATATTGCAGTTTTTGTTATTATGTTTGATGTTTTTATATGCAATTTCATGTTTTAGTATGCCATCCAATATGTAATTTGTTTAAAAAAAAATTTTCTCGCAAATAAAAAAAAATTTGTTCAATATCTTCTTTAGTTTTTATTTTATGGTAGTTTAAATATGCTCTAAGCAACAAAATTTTACTGCGTCTATTTTTTTTTGAAAGCACCGTATATATATATATATATATATATATATATATATATATATATATATATATATATATATATATATATATATATATAACTTTTTTTGTCATTTTAGTTTTAATTTTGTATTAATTTTTTTCTTCAAATTATATTTATTTTATTGAGTATTCAGGAATACTCTGCGCAAGTAACGGGTGAAGCAAAAGCTGTGAAAGACTTAGATCGTTTCGAGATGATACTGCAAGCATTTGAATATGAAAGAGGTTTTTTTTAGTGAAATATGATAAATGAGACCATATGGTGGGTTAAAATTTAACAATCAAGTTTCTTTGAAATAAATTTACCATTTCAGCTTTAAATCGAAATGGCGAACTGGAAAGTTTTTTTGCTGGAACAAATGGCAAGTTTTCTTTTGCAATTATACATTTATTTAGTTCAATATTTTGCTAAAAAATTTTAATTTTTTGATAAACTACTGATGTCTAAAAAATGTATTTGTATTAATCTAGTTTTAATGTCTTAATCTACTTGATAGTTTTAATACTTTTGTGAAATTATAACAATTAAAGTTCGTAGATAAATAACAAGCTTGTATTTTAAAAACATTATTTATAAAGGTATATTTCTGATCGATATAGTTTCATTTGTTTAGGGAAATTTCAAAATGATGTTGTAAAATCTTGGGTGGAACAATTAAATCGACTCCGTTTGGTTAATAAATAAAGAGGAATACTTGCAACATGTTTTCAGTTTTAGTAACTATAGTGGAGTAGTTGCTTCGCCTTTATCTTTTTAATAAAAGAGTTAGTCTTGAAAACTAATTTAGTATACTTTACGATGTTCATTCAAAACGTAGTATTTCAGTACAAAAAATATTTTTATATCTTTGAAATTGAAGTTTTTTTCTTAAAATTGAAGGGTTAGCCCTCAATTACTATGCTTTGGTCTTGAGTCTCGCATTTATTCGCTGACAGTAGTAAAGTCTTGCTTCTGCGTAAACAGTGTTTTTGCGTAATGATTTTCATATAAAAAAAATAATCACTTGCATAGTTTTCATCCAACATTAAGCATCCAACGATTCAATGCTTTAAGTTCATTTTTTAAATTCATTTTATAAATATAATGTAACAGAGAGATATTTAAAAGTGTGAAGTATTAGGGTACAGAGGTAAAAAAGTGATTGAGCAAGTTATTATTTCCCTAATTTGAAGGGCTTAGGGTATTAAAACTGTATGCCACCTAATCATTCTTTTGAGATAATAAAGTTAAAAAGTTTTTTTTTTTTGAAATCTTAAAATCTTGCTTTTTTTTTCCTTTATATAAGTCTGTATGCATGTTTTTGTAGAGAAAATATTTTTTTAAGTTTTGTTTGTTGAGTACTAGCCCATGTAATATTGGAATAGTATATGAGACAATGTGTAATGCCAAAATATACTAGTTTCAGACTTTCTGATTTTACATATGAGCAAAAACGGGTAATTTTTTACCGATTCACGGTAGCTAAATCATTTCGGATTTTTAAACTTAAGTATTTTTTTAGTAAAATTATATATAAATACAAGTTTTTAGAATACAGGGTTTTCAATCTGGAAAAAAAAAAATAGTATGACACACCCTAATGCGAAGCGGCTAATAAGTGGCGTAATGGTCATATTTATACGAAATTATTATTTTTATTTTTCATTTTTTCTTGACAGAAGTATTCACACCGATTGTTACGCTTTTTATGATTTTTAACACCATTTCAGAGCGATTTTCATTGGCGCAAATAGATTCTAATGTCAAATCCAGTTGATTTGTTCAACAATATTTTCCTAATGTGTTCGTGTACCAAAAGAAAACACTGTGTCTATTAATTTAAGAAATATGTTGTACCTATGTTTAGATTGTGAGATACCTATCTTACTGAGAACGATAGATAAATTAACACTTTGGCTATTGTTAAGTGCTTTTTGTTGATCTTTAAGCTTTTTTTCAGTTATACAACAAACTTTATAATTTTTACCTCATTTTGGTATCATATGTTTTTTTTTTTTTAAATACTGTTACTGGAGCCTTGGGTCAAACAATCTAAATCTAAATCCAGAATCGTTTCCTTAAAAGATTGGGTAAAGTACTTTTGATCTTTTGTTGTACACTAAACTAGGTCAAAACGTATCAATGTAATTCAATGTGATACACATTTTTAGTGTGATTATTTTAGGTGCTTCAAGAAGACCTTTTGGTCGCATCACAGAGCACCGCAGAAGAGCATTTAACTTGGAAGTTCGCTTGCTCTATGTCAAAAAAAACCAAGAGTAGGCATCGAACCACAAATCAGTGAAGGATGCAACATTTTTTGGTGTTTGAGATAGATATCAAATATGTTTTTACTTATTGCAAAACATCATTATTTGACATAAGTATGTTTTTACTTATGTCAAATAATGATGTTTTGCAAAATATTGCCACGATTGGAGGCTGGGATCAAAAAAGCCCTAAAATGTAATACCCCTGCCCCAAACGTGAGAGCAACAAATTGGTAAAATATTACTTTTGCTTATCTTAACTAAGCTTATATTCATCAATAAATTTGAAGTTTCATAGTATTATCTCTCAGGGTTAATAAATTATGATCAAATAAAGTTTAAACCCCCCTCAATTTGAGGAGGTTACAAATTCTATATGGTCATAGTTTTTGAATATTTAGCGATTGTAAAACAATGCTTAAAATTAATCGATGAATATAAATTTAGTTAAGAATAGCAAAAAAGTTATTTCATCAACTTGCTGCTCTCACGTTTGGGGCAATGGTGATAAGACTTTAGGGCTTTTTGTTTCCAGCCTCAAATCATTGTAACTTGTAAAAAAGCTTCATTATCTATCATAAGTATAAACATACAAATGTTTGGATATTCCTCCATGTTAGCTATCTCAAACACAAAAAAACGCTAAATCCGTCACTGCCACAGATCTCTTGTTTCTGAAGCAAATTTATTTCAGAATTCAGCTTTTAAACGCTGCAAATGTACAATAACTATTTGTATACCTATCTTACTGAGAACCTGAATACCTATCTTACTGAGAACACCAAGTTTTCATTTCAAGACAAATATCTAAAGAAAATATGTAAAAAAAAAAATTTTTAAATGTACTTTTAAGGTTCAGAGTTTGCAGTAAGATATCGGATCAATATTTAAATTATTAGAACTTTTCAATAACGAGAAAGCGAGCAACAATTTTGCTGTGAGTATTGATGAGTTGTTAGCAACTTTAAAAGATTTTAAAAATTTTGGAATTCATTGTATATAAAAAGTCTGGGGGAGTCTCATCCGTTGGCATTTTTCAAACTATGAACTAGAATATCATAAATTATCCAGTAGTCTGGTGAAATATAAAACTCTAGCCTAGTGGCTAGTTTTTATCAATAACTCAGCTTTATCAGCTTTCAGAAGGACCTTTGTTTTTAAATACAGATATTTTTACCATTTTTATATTGTAATCTTGGTCAAAAGATGTTAACGCCAGCATCAAACACCTCTATCGTTTAACCATGATTTGAATTGCACCTCTACAGCAGGCTCAATATACATCTGCTAATAGTCTTGTTGATCTTAAAAGTATAAGTTAAAAATAATGCAATGTAGATACAATAAGGTTTAAAATGACACTGCTAAAAACTTATTACATTTAATTTTGACAAAATAAAATCAAAGTGCTATTTCTATTGATTTCATTTTTACTGATTTTAAGAAAAGTCTGAATTGGAAAAAAAAATTGGTTTAATTTTGAAAAATTTTAAAACTGGAGTAATTTTCGTTGTATTTTAGATATGATTTTAAACCATTTTGCAAACCATTGTTTTTAAACAATTTGTTACTTTATGACATAAATTATTCTTAACTAATAAGACTAAAATATCAAAAATTATGAAATTAAGTTTTACTTTAAAAATTGAAAAAACAGAAAAAAACAGTCTTTACCCATATAACATATAGGCATCGGGCCGACATAGGCGCGACATCTAATATATATATATATATATATATATATATATATATATATATATATATATATATATATATAATATATATATATATATATATATATATATATATATATACATATATATATATATATATATATATATATATATATATATATATATATATATATATATATATATATATATATAAATATATATATATATATATATATATATATATATATATATATATATATATATATATATATATATATATATATATATATATATATTTATATATATATATATAATTACACGATGATGTAAGTTTTACATACCTTTAATAGGCGATTGCTCATTGGCAGGAGGTAAAAAAAGACGTCAAAATAACAATAGAGCAACGTCCGCATCCGATCAAATAAAGATGAGAATTTTACATACTTTGGATGGGCGGGACGTAAACAAAGACGTTAAAATAAAATCGGCGCAATGTCTGTATCCGATCAAATAAAGATATAATTTTTACATATTTTTGATAGGCGGCTAGACGTAAACAAAAACATCAAAATAATATCAATTCAATGTTCGCATTTGCATGTTTTGTTTTCGTCCTGCTGATGAGCAGCCAATTATAATTTCATATTTTTCAATTATATATATATATATATATATATATATATATATATATATATATATATATATATATATATATATATATATATATATATATATATATATATATATATATATATATATATATATATATATATCATGGCGATACTTATTACAGGCCTTTCCGTCGCGAATCCTTATTTTTGTATGGGGGCGGACAAAGTTACGGAAAATATAAAAAATGGCTAGAAAAGTTTGCGAACTAATCCATAATTTTTAGTTAGTTTACTAAATTTTAAAAGTACTGTATTAATGAAAAAAATGTCTATTGCAGTGTTTATTAAGAATCATCAAATTTAAAAAAACATTTTGAAAAAAATAATAAAATACAATATTTTTCAAAATGAATTGTAACTATTTAAAATCTAAATCACAAAAAAATGAACAAACTTTAAAATAATGCAAAAAAAAAAAAAAAAAGGAAAAAAACATCATAATATTCATCAAGAAAAAAGAAAAAAAATATTAAAATATACATCAATGATGTTATAAAAAAATGTACATAATAATTTTTTAATGTAATACAGATAACTTTAAAACCTTTAATGCAGGTTCCTTATTGGACTGGGGGAAAAAAGCAAACAATAATTTTTAAGAAATATGTTTAATAATATTGCACCATGTTTCTTTAACATATTAAAGTTATAAATATTAGATATCATCATAAAAGTATTACACAATGACTTTCTGCACATTTTGTTTTTCTCAATTTCAAAAATAATGAAACAAAAAAATACTCACTGCACACAGCAATCGAGAGGTATATTCAATCCATTGCGGTCTATAGTTTTTGTATAGTCTCCATATAACTGAAAATAAAATGCGGTTTTATTAAACAAATCATTTTCACTAACATCATCTTTTCTTGTAGCATAACCTGCAATATAAAACAAAGCCATTTTTGTACTCAATGACAAAGATGTTTCTAGTTCAGGTAATTGATTAATGGTGTTACAAGATTCTTCACTTATAAAATAGCTACATTTTTGACAAGAATGCTCGATATCAATAGCATAATCTGTAACATCAACTTTTAATTGCAATAACAATTTTGCTTTTTCAATGTTTAACTTTTCAACAACATTTTGAACTGTTATAAAGTATGTTCCACCTGAACCTTGCCTAAACTTACTGAATGCTTTTTCAATGTAATCTGTTGAAAACTCTCCTAACATAACATAATCAAAATTGTTTTTTAGCAAATATTTACACATCTTGATGACTCCATAACATGTATGCCAAATTGAAGTAC